CACCTGTGTAATAGCCAGCTTTGTTTGATATACCCTAGCACAGTCTTGCTTGTTAATGCTGAAATATTGTTAGATTGTGTTCTATAAACAGTGATTGGTTTATAGAAAAATAGCCCTGAAATGTATGAACATTACAAAGTGTAGAGAAATACTGCTATTTCTTGGCTCTTATTTCCTGTGGCAAGAGTAAGGGTGTATTATTTCAGTGTTCAGTATTTTAAAAAAATGCACGTGCAAGCAACCTGCAATTATTCCTGTGTTCTCGGATTCAACAGAGAGAAAAACATGCTTTTCGAGGCACAATTGCAACTCTTTCTTGTTTGCGGACTGCCTAGCTCTTAACACCTATGAAGTGATTTTGTCCTGATCCCCAATTTAGACCCACTGCATCATGCTCTTCTCACATTCCTTTTGCTCCAGTATTACAGTGCTTATACAGTATTACACGTAATTTTAGATTTCTATTACTAGATAAGTCCTGCCTGTTGAAAGTGTTTGCGAAGAGAAACCACAGCTGATTAGGTGTCTACTGTATTATTAGTAGTAAATGACTTCTTCATTTTTAGTACAGACCAAAAACCGAATTGTCCTGTAATGACACGATGAGGGTGTATTCAGGTATATTTTTTCCATAAATGCTACTCAATGCATTCCAGAATCAATCTGTTTTCAAAGCTGAAGCTGTATTTGTGAATACCTGGAAAATTGCTAGAGGACATCTTGCATAATATCCAGGCAAACAGAGATAAGACCTATCTACATTTATTGTTATACTAATGTTTTCATAGTTATTTTGTAAAACCACTTGGTATGTGACATCCCTAGATTGCAAAATACAGATGTTTAGGGTACTGTCTTAGAAGGAGTACACCCTTATGTTTCATTTGAGTCTAAACCAAGCTAGACTTGTAGTGAATTTGCAGTTTTTACACAGTGAAAGGGGCTTTTCTTCAATATAAAGTCTTAATAAATCTGGGAATAACTGTTCTTGAACTACAGCTGTTTCACATGAGGCCAGTCTTAACTGGAGGAGTGCTTACAGAAAGTTGTGCATAATAAATTGCTTGTGTTAGAGCCCCTAGGATATTTTCTCTTACCCTGAAATGGGCCTAAAATGAAATTGCACCATTGAAAACAAAATTCAGATGAAGGAGCTTTTTCTTCAGTTTCTTACATTTTAAAATGGTGTGGAATTGCTTGGTTGTTAATTAATATGGAGGTCTTAAAGTTCTAATATTGAAATAGACTGGCATTAAAAGGTTTACTTTTTTGTTTACAGAGTTGTTTTAGTGTATCGCTAAGAAACACTCTACTGGCATCTTAAACAGTTGAGTCTGAACTGAAACAAAAGCTGGAGAGCGGGAAGCACTCCGATTCTGCTGGAGCTTGTTCTTTGTACTCCTAGTCGGGGGAGCCTCAGATTCCACTCCCATTACATGAGCAGCTTTCATGAATTACTGTCTGGTTTACACCAGCAGCCCTTTGCACTACTTCTCATTGATTGCTGCTTTCCAGGGTTTTTGTTTCTTCTTCTTACACAACATTCTCTTCCTGCACTGCCAAGCATTTTGGTTTTCTGCTTTCACCAGCTAAATAAATTATGCCAATACTCCTTTTTTTGTTGTTGTTGTTGCTTAATGGACATTTACTGTTTTTGAAAACTTGGTGAGTTTTGGTCATTTTGTGATTGGAAACTTGTCATTCAATACCACCATCAGCAGAGGAGGAGATATAATATTTTGAATAATGTGATATAATTCAAAATAGAAACCTTCTTATTTTGAAAAGATGTTGCCTTAAATGTTCAGGTTTGTACTTTTTAATTAAATTTCTGATTTTGTTGTTTATTTACTTTTACCAAAAACAGAATTCAATTATACATACCACTTCCACAGAAATATTAAGTGTATATCAAATTAAGCTTGAATTGGTCTCCAAATAATAGGGTAGGAATAGCCGTGTGGAGCTATACATTGTTGTAGATGGTGAAAGCAGTGAAAATGTTTTTGCAATTGTGAATCATACAAAAGGTTTATAGCAGGGAGTAAGGGATTAAATAAACTGGAAAATATCATGTCAGTTTATCATCAAAATTTACAAGGACAGTTTCAAAAGTCAGTTTATAAGGTCAATTTAAAACAGTCTAGAAGTCTAGACATTTCCTCTGGGCTGTTTTACATAACCTGGTTTATGTAGTTTTAACAGGATTTACTTGATAAAATTATGTCCTAGTTTCAGGAGATTTTTTTTCACTTTTAATTCTGTGTTGATTATTTAAATGATCACACAGTTGCTTTTTGTAGATGGATACAGAAAAGCTGAGCAACAGAAATACCTGACTCCATGTTACTACACTGCAGTGCAAAAAAGTTTTGACTCAATTTTAATTGGACATGGAAGTAGCAGCTGATTTGGAAGAATTCGCACAGCTATATTCTTATGAAATTTCATTAGAAAGATTTAGAGATGATGAATTCTGTGCTTATCAAATAAATTAAGAGCCAGCAGGGATTGTATACTCCAGTGATCCGTTACATAGCGTTCAAACCACAGTGAGGCAATTTCATTGCTCTTTAGTGTGGAGGTATTTAAAGATGATGACTGGGTAAAATTCCTTTATTTGAGTTCTGGGGAGGAAAGTTAAATTCTCACTTGTAGAGAAATAACTTTTCAGTGTATTTTAATATTAGATCTTGAGGCTGTGCTATTTCTGATTTATGGGTTAATGAGCCATTTATCCTTGCATTGGTCTGTTCTACACCTGGTAGTGGTGAGGAAACAGGATTGTTAAAGTACTGTGGCTAGCCTTTGTCACACAGTGAATACTTTCACTGCCAAGAATGCAACTCCTGTCCTGAATGCTTAGCATTCTTTTGCTAAAAAGGTTTTGTGCTTGTGTTGTGATGTGTTTTGAATGAAATGTACTGGTTCAAATAGGTCAGTTAAAATCTAAGCAAATTGGTATAGTCTGGGTGTTTCTTTGAGGATTATAGTGAGTTTTTAATCTTCCAGACAAGATGTAGAAGGAGCTGTAGCGAATTTGTTAGCGGTTGTTAGTAGTTCTGCTTATACAGTAGTATAAAATGTATTAAAATAACTTAATTAATGTTTTTTAAAACAGAACACCGTTTTTGGCAAAATAAACCTATCTTTAGTAGATGTTATTTAAAGAAATAGTTTGCATATACTATAGAGATTTAAATGTATACTAACTATTATAACCGAATGGCGTGAAAGCCAAACTATCTGACAGATATTATATAGATCCTTAGGTGGTTAATCGGGTAAAAGCCCTGGTATATTTATCTGAGCAATCACATCTAAAAATTAGTTGAAAGTTAGAATTTATTCATTTTAGTGAAACTAAAACTACGAATTAAACAACCATTATGCACTCTGCCCAAAGTCCCCACATTGTTTAACTTGTAAGTTATTTACATCTAAACATCTTTAGAATAGGAGTTTATAAACCATGAACTGAGGGCCTTATAGGCTTCTGCATCCTGATGCCTGATTCAAATCCAAATCACTTTGCATTTTTCCCACAGGGTCTAAGTTATTTTCATGTATTTAAGTACTATATATAAATGAAGTGTAACATTTCTAAATTATTCCAACTTATATTCTTCACTTGAATGTTATGTTCAGAAGGGCAAGATAATACTTATCTTTTTGCATTTTCCTTCTGGAGCAGGAGTTCTAAACTGCTGTTCCTGTATGTTGATAGGTGGCAGTGTCTATCTTTCTGGTGATATGTCAAAACTGTGGTTCTGACTACTTTGCTTGGCACTGTTCATAAATGATGGGAGTGTTAATTCCAGTGTGGAATTCAATCAGTTTCTCACCTCTCTAATCTAATCCACTATATAGTGGGGCTGCTGGTGCTTATTGGCTGGTGGGTGTCACACCAGGGGGTGCTGCGCTGTGTTGGGGAATGAAGTGGGACCTCTCTTGTATCTTCGGATCCTCTGGCACTCTTTCCACTTTCCTTGTATAAGCCACAGGCTCAATGTCTAATCCTTAGTTATTAATTTAGGCTTGTTTTGAAAAGGAACACATTCTTGACAGAGTATAGGTCAACAAACTTAAGGAAACAAAGTACAACATAATCTTTTGAATAATATTTAGTCATTGGTGAGAAAACAGTAACTGAGTGTGCTTTAAAGTTCTTAGGGTTAATTTTACATTTGGTAAAATGACTTGTGCCTTTATTTCCGAGCAGTGGGTTTTTAATCTGCAATTTATAATTATAGTTTTGCAGTATAATCTATCACTAGAAATTAATTTGTTTTTTTTAAAAAAACGTTTGTGATTTTAGAGCTGCATCCTCTCACTGTAGTTGCTAATTTCTTTAATGTTTAAACTAACACCTTTCCTTTAAGCTGCAGCACATGCACAGCTGCTTTTCCTTTAAATGCACAAGGCTGATTTGTCGGTCCAGTGTCAGTGACACTGGCTCTCAGCGTGTGTCATGTAAATATTGCAGAAGGTTCAGTCGGTGTATTTTGTGGCACACTGCCCGAGGGGGAAGCGAGTCAACACAATAAGAGCTTTGATCACCAGACTCAGTGACAGAGGGATGGTCTGTAACTCTGGTGTTTCTGTGGCAGTGCCAGTAATGGCACACAACCGTCCAGTTTGTACATTCTAGCTCCTCTTTTACTTCTTCCACATGCTTTTCTCCTGTATGCATTAGAGGTAGAATATTAATGCTAAGGTAACACCTTCTCGACCCACTGGCACCATTTCATAATACATGCAACAGAGAACACAAGCTGGTTTGGGTACATCCAGATAGAGCCAGAAACGAGAACGTTAAGATATAGAAATGAATCTGTTCAGCGGCCTTAAACAGGGGTTTCTGAAGGTTATGTACACTCTAGGAGAATGATTTGTGATGTAGTAGACCTGAAGTATTATAAGGAAGCATATTTGTCAAAAAATTAACACGTTTGTAAAATAGTGTTCTATACTGATGTTTTGATTTTCTTTCTTTTTAGATGCACCTTTAGGTTTCCCAGCACAAATATCAAGATCACATTTACAGCACTGTCCAGTGACAAGAAGGAGAAGCGAGAGGCTCCAGAGTCACCAGTAAAGCCAGTCCAGCCTCAGATCTCACCCTTAACAATAAACATTCCAGACAACATAGCGCATCTAATGAGCCCACTTCCTTCCCCTACAGGAACTATCAGGTATGTTTCTATTACTCAGGAGTCATCATGTATGCTATTCATTTCAGTCTGCTCCTGACTGGGATTCTGCTGAATGACACGCAGCATTATGTTCTTGACCATTCACAAAATGTATTCTTCCATCTAGTTGTAGAGTGTGTGTGTGTGGGGGGGGTAGCATCATCTCTACAATTCAATCCTTAAACCACGAAATGAAGATTGGGCATAGAGATTGATTCGTAAAGCATTTTTTAACATCTGGTCTTTTTCTGATGTTAAACTTGAATGCGGCGCATTCTGTGCGTTCATGTATCATATGTTATCCAGTGTGTTTATGGTAAGTTTTGGGGAGGAAAAACTCACTTCACTAAGATTATGCCAACAGAAAGATTTATTGCATTTTTGTTTGTATGTTTAACACTTAGACTGATGGTCTCGATTTGATCTATGTATTTCCATCAGATGCACTGAAAATGTTTATATGCATTATACTCTTCCATTTGATTGTGAGGATAAGAACTAATTTGCATTGCTTCAGAATGATTGCCTGAAAAGGTCAACATCACAGCACTTGAAACAGCTGAGTTAAATAGGCCTACATTGTTGATAAATTTTAGGAATGGTAATTACAAATCATGTGTGTTGCTGTAAAGTCTAAATGTTTACTTCATTTTGCCTGGTCTTGTTCTGAAATGAATTACCTAGCTGTCATATTTTTTCCATTCTGGCAATGCACTCTGCCAAAAGCTGATGATGTTAACACAAGACAATTAATGCAAGATAGATTTTAAAAGCTTACAATAATTCATTCACTTGTGCTGAGTTTTATTAAAACAAAATGTCTGGAATATGTTTCACAGTTGTTTTTTAAATACTTTCAGAGTTTGATTATGTCCTCATTTTGCAAATCCACTAAGAATTAATTTTCTTTTTTCCATCCTTTCACTCCAAATTAATTTTGTACAATTTGAAAATTTTTAATTTCAATCAAAAATATGTTCGATTTAATGTACTTTACAATGTTTGCTGAATATATCTGAATACATCTCAGCTGCTGATGGTAGAAATATTCACACAGGTCTTACTGATCTTTGCTATAGTTTAAAAATCACTGGGCTCCTGTTTTGCAGTGCTGCCAACTCCTGCCCATCAAGTCCACGAGGGGCAGGGTCTTCGGGGTATAGGGTGAGCCGTGTTATCGCATCTGATCTGCAGCTTATAGGGGACAACTCGCAGTCAGAGAATGACAAGGAGGCATCAGGAGGAGATAGTCCCAAGGTAACTGTTCTGAAAATTTGGATAGTCATGCAAATGTAGGAATATGTGTCCCAGTTTTTAAGATCCCTATTTGTACATTATTGTTTCAGTGACTTGAGATCTACACTGTATTTTCTAGGATACAAGGGGTAGAGGTCTGTATTGTGCTTTCTTAAAACATTTGCAACAAACCAGTGCAGAATAAGTTTTTTGCCTGAATCTGTATAGAAAACTTTATATGTAAGAACAAGATTCAAGCAAATGTGTAAATGTTGATTTTAGAAAAGAAATTGCAATGGCTACTCAAACCTAGCCAAACATGTCTTTGGGAGGTGGGAGAAAACTTGAACAAAGCTGTACTTACAGGAGACATTCAAGTTTCTCCCCAGTCAGAATTGAACTTGTGTTTTGAGAGTTAAGATAGTATTGGTGACCACCATTCCATTGTGCTGCTTGCGATTAGACTGAAAACTGAAAAACAGCAATGGATGAGTGCATTAATTTGATCATACACCATTTTAATACAATGTTTTTTTTTACATGCAGGATGACTCCAAGCCACCGTATTCTTATGCACAGTTAATAGTACAAGCTATTACAATGGCCCCTGACAAGCAGCTCACACTAAATGGAATATACACACATATCACAAAAAACTACCCTTACTACAGGACAGCAGACAAGGGCTGGCAGGTAACAACTTCTGTTTCTAATTATCCTTAAGACTTGTTTTGTATCAAGGCATGGTGAGAAAGCATTCTGATTGAGTAATCAAGTTTTATTTTCTCTGGAGGAATACCGATTGTTTTTCTTTAGCCTTTTCTTAAATGAAGAGTATTTGGCATGTTTTAAACAAGTAAAACCACAACATTCTTTTTATTCAAACCATGCAGGCACATAGAACCAGTATCCTTAGACCATATGTTTGTACCACTTATATTTATATACTGGGGGGACAAGAGATTGGAGTTTTAAATACTCCTACTAGCCCTTCTGTTGAGATGGATTTGATTATTTAAATGGTTGTAATGTTAAGCAAATCAAGCGATAGCAATAGAAGGACAATTTTGTAACAATTTGTATGGCTTGATTTTGAAGTTGTATTGAAAATTTGCATTTCACTAATGTTGTAATAGGTGACACTTGATTAATAATTTATGAAACCTAAACAAGACCTTGGTGCTGTTTATACTAACACTCATCTTCTGTTTTAGAACTCAATTCGTCACAATCTTTCTCTGAACCGCTACTTTATTAAAGTGCCCAGATCACAGGAAGAGCCGGGCAAAGGTTCTTTTTGGAGGATAGATCCTGCATCAGAGAGCAAACTCATAGAACAAGCATTTAGGAAACGAAGGCCAAGGGGTGTTCCTTGCTTTCGAACTCCTTTAGGACCGCTGTCATCTAGGTAATCGCACTTTTCATAGTGTATTGACTATTTTCACCAACATTGCTAGAATTTAACTTTCTTGATCCTTAAGAATGGCTTATGTAGTTTACATATACTATGTAAGTGGGGAAAAACATATTGGAAAAACTGCAGTGTATACTATTGTCTGTCTACAACAGTGATAAACAATTGGTCAGAAGCTAATTTGTGTTACATTGCAGTTGCCTTTACAGGCGTATTATATTATCATTAGGTGGATTCTTATAATTCCTGCTTGTGATCATGATAATATTTTGATTTTGGGACTACAGACAAATCAGAACCAAACCAAAAAATCAGGTAGAACCGAAATCTTGGTTTTTAATTTTTTAGAGTTGTGTATTTTTAGATGTCCCATTTAAGTGCTGTCCATTGCTTTCTTTTCTTCCCTCACAGAAGTGCCCCAGCCTCTCCAAACCACTCTGGGGTGTTATCAGCTCACTCCAGCGGAGTGCAGACCCCGGAGAGCCTGTCCAGGGAAGGCTCCCCTGTCCCAATGGAGCAAGAGCCCCCATCCGCTCCTGCCCCAGCTACTGCAGTCCAGCCCAAACTAGCAGTAATACAGGAAGCTCGCTTTGCCCAGAGTGCACCTGGTAAGAGAGATGCGGGCCCCTCACAGCTGAAATATTGCTTTATTGATTGGCAATGTGCAATTCCTTGGTTTCCAACAAAACAAATTTCCAAGCGGTTGAAAATTATACTATTGTTGTATTTATCTAAATGTATAATACAAACGCCTAAAACATCATGAAGCAATGCAGTTTTTATCTCATTTCATTAAATGTTTTGTTACTTCATTTATAACAGAGCAAATTTCTTATATAGTTATTCTCACAGAAAGAAAGCCGGGTTGAGGTAGTCAGTCATGGGGAGCAGAAAAATTTTCCAGAATCATAAGAGGTTTTACATCAGTAATTTCATCTGTTTCCTAGGACTGAACTATAAACAAAAGTTTACCACCAGACTGAGCTAATTTAATTTAATTTCTGTTACAGGGTCACCTCTTAATAGTCAACCAGTTTTAATTACAGTCCAACGACAATTACCACAGACCATTAAACCTGTCACTTATACAGTTGCCACTCCTGTGACGACATCCACATCCCAGCAGCCTGTTATGCAGACTGTTCATGTTGTCCACCAGATCCCAGCCGTATCGGTTACTAGTGTGGCTGGACTAACACCAGCTAATACATATACAGTGGCGGGCCAAGCAGTGGTCACTCAGGCAGCACTAGTTAATCAGTCAAAAGCAGAACCACAGGAGAATGGAGAACACAAAGAATTAAAAGGTAAGGATGGCAAGTATTTTCTCTTATTGTGAGGTGTAAAAATTGGTATTGGACATCCAAATGTAGTAATGGCAACAATGTCTTACAACTCTTTGTGTAATTTTATATTGTGCTAAATGTAGGGATTTGTCTTCTCTTTACATTTTAAGCACAGTAAAGCATTGTCAGTTGTTTTAACTTGTAGAACTTGTAGTGTTGTAGAAATGTGGAAAAAGTGCAGGGTGTAGTTTTGAAGCTGATATCCAAGTGTCATTTAAGAAATGGCTGGATTATATCCTTGGGCTAGTTTGCTACAAGTGATTTAAACTATGCAGTCCAAATGTAGTCCTCTTGTTCGTAACCTTTAATTTCTTATTTAAAATAGATTCTTTGGAATGTATAAAATTGAGCTTTCATTTTAAATTGTACAAAAATCTTATACTTGTAGTGCTTTATTTCACTGTTGTGTTTGTCGTGTTTATTTATTGTACTTGGCTAATTGTTCCTCATTTTTCTTTTGCAGTGAAAGTAGAACCTGTTCCTGCTATTACCCATGCTGCTATTGGAGCTGCTAGTCGTATTATTCAAACATCTCAGGCTACCCCTTTACAGACAGTTACTATTGTGCAACAGGCTCCTCTTGGACAGCACCAGCTACCAATAAAGACCATAACACAGAATGGCACTCATGTAGTCCCCATCACCACTGCCATACAAGGACAAGTGAATACAGGTAAGGTAATGCTTTGTAAATCTTCTGGTGTGCTCAAATACTGTATGCTTGTAAACCTTTAATGCAGTTTTTATTTTTGCAGGCTTAATATTAAAATGTTCTTATTAGGGAGTTTTTAATTCCAGCACTAAATCATTATAAACAGAGTGAGGCATTTATTTGTTTGAGATTTTATTATAGTGGAATATTGCCCATCAGATGTGAAATGTTTTTGATGGCATACCAGATATTTGTTGTACCACAACACATTAAAAGTGAATAAGAGAAGGGTAACTACATTTCTAGATGTTCCCAGAATTCACAGCAAACCAGAGGAAGACCTTCCTGCTGACAATGTTTTGTTTTTCCCACAGTTGCCAGCCCACTACATATGTTAGCAACCCATGCTTCTGCATCAGCCTCTCTTCCAACGAAACGGCAGAATGGAGACCAGGCAGAGCAACCGGAACTTAAACGTATCAAAACGGATGAGGGAGAGAGCATAGTCATTGCAGTAAATGTGGACACTCCTGCTGTGAGTGAACAAGGCAGCCAGAACTAAAAACCTTTCAGTCACTGCCCTTTTTTTATCGACTCGAAGGTGCCAAAAGGAGAAGATCAACTTAAACCATCTTTGAACTTTGGAATGTGTTACCACCCTATGGGTTTAAATATAATAATAATAAAAAAAAGAAAAATAGTAAAAGAAAAAAAACATAGGTACCCTGTGAAAAGACTGTTATCAGGCAGCACTGGAAGAGCACAGGAAGCCTTAAAAAACTAACTTAGGAGTAAGAATCAAACTGAATGGAAAAACGAGGCCCAGGTCAAGAGGCTGTATTGTACCTCCTGCTCAACTACCTCAGTGCACACTGGGAAATGGAGAGGTGTGGAGGACTGCAGCTAAATAAATGACACGTCTGATCTCTTAAACTTTCAAAATGGACTGAGCACATACCAGTGTAACGGCAGCATGACAAGCGCTTAGTGTAAACCAGATTTTAAAACAATAGTGTATTCTGCAAAGGGAACAAATGCGTGGAGCCATTTCCTATATCTCGGCAGCTAGCCTTTCATATTGACCTACCTAATGCAGTTGTTAGTAGATATGCAGTATTTTGTTGTTCATATGTGGAAAATTAGGATCTTTTTTGGGTGTATTTTCATTTCTGTAGGCAAAAAGAAACAACGGGGTCACTGACATTTCAAATCACTCCATCTGTACTTTGGAATCACAAGCTGTTTTTTGTATGTGGAATTTTTATGTTCAGTGAAAATGAATGTAGTTTCCTTTTTTAAACTATCAATGGAGTGGTTTACTTTTGTCTGTTCTGTCAGATCCAAATGAAGCTTACTTTATTACACCTACAGATTTTCATATTTTAACAGATAACCGAAAATATATAAAATTATTCCATGTGTAGTGATCAAATGCTTTATCAAGCTTGCATGTAACTGATTAAAAAATGTAACTGAGCCGTTAACTGAAAATGAACTGAAAAAAGAACTGCTATGAATTTGACCAGAGCTGCACTTGATTAACCTGTTCCTAATTTTATTTTTTTCTTTTCTTTTTCCCTCTTAATCCTCTGCTGTTTATTTTGTGTTGGAGCTGGCAGTCCCTTGCTTGATTATTTTATTCTGTTCAGGCTACAGAAAAGTTTCTCTTCAGATTGTGTATGTTCCAAGCAAAAAAAATGATAGATGTTTGTTCTGCTTCAGTGGGTAAATGCTTTTTTTTTTATAAATTAATTTAAAAACCTTCCGTGAAGTTGAACTATTCTCCGTCTTTTCATGCACCACCAAAAGACAAATTACAAAGGTATCCAAATCATCTGACGAACTATAGAACCTAATGATGAACTTTTACTTTGTGATCCTAGTTTTTAGTTTCCATTAAGCTTAATGGCCACAACAAATGCACAAGCCTGAGAAATCCAGGATGTCTGGTTATAGTTACTGATGGTTTACACAACATATATGCATTGATATTCCACACCCTACTATATTGAAATAGTATTTCAGTTTTGAATAGGATAGTAATTTTGAGTTGAATAGTAATTTGAGTTTACTGAAAACCCACTTGCTTAGAGTCCAGGTTGAACTATGTGGCCTAGGCATCATTGATTAAAGTTGCTACCTTACTGTGAGCGCGATTTCCCAAGCAGCAGTGCAGGCTTGGCAGAGCATTGAGTACTGGGCATTCTTGGCTTTCTTTGCGACAGTGGCGGCTTCTGCAGCTAACAGTGGTGACAGTACACTGTCATATACTGAATTTTCAGTCATGGTGTTTGTACTCCAATAATGTGCACACAAACTTGAGTATCATATGTTTTGGATCTAACCCCCTGTTCCACACAGTTCTGAGAGGCACCACAGAAGTGAAAAGACTTAAGAAGCTACATGACAAGTGATGTAAGTGCTTTACTGCTTAATCTGTGATGCTGGAAGCTTATACAGTTACCTGTGAAAAATGTTACAGATGTGCAGTAGAGTGAAATTCCTGCATTGAAGCATCCTTGACTAGTTTTTAAAGCATGTTTAATACTATTCTCAACCTTCAACGTGTGCTATTAGTCTTCCTGTACTCTTCTGCTCATTTTTGCATATTTGAGTGAGGTACTTATACATAGGTTTTTCAGTATGTCATGTACTACTAATTTCATCAGCCTCCAGCTCCATCAAGGCATCACACTTCCTTCCTTTACTATGGTCTCTTGCCCTTCATATTATCTTTCCCTGCTTTGATAAGTTAAGTGTATTTTTCAATAAAAGTGTTCAGTGCTGAAATTTACAGTACAAAATAGTACATTAAATTAAACAGTTATGTTTAGCTGTGGAACTAGTTGTATTTTAATCCAAAGAAACTTTAGTAGCTTTGTATTAAGCTGTATCTGTATTATAGTCTTAACTATGATTGTTTTTCAGTGCTTTAATGAATCTCTTTAATTTTGTGTCACAAGGGGGGAAAAAGCAAGTAAGGTTTCTTGTCCCTGAAAATAGGAAATAGCTATGTACTCTATAGGTGGGTTTTATGAGTTGAGAGAAGTATAGCTTTTCAAATTTCACCTTTTGATGAATGAAATTTGTATAATCTCGTATAGATCCTTGATCCACAAGGGCAAAAACTAAACTCTAAACTGCTCAACCTTTTCTTTTCCTGCACTAGTCAGCCTTTTCTGTAAATGGGGTACCTATCTAGGTTAGTATTCTCCCTTGGTCCTCTTTTAGGAACACTCTTTTTAGAAGTACTAGGAAATTATAATAAAGAAACATTCACAGGAATTTTTTTAAGATGTCATTTTATGACCAGGTTTATGCACATTCATCTCAGTCATGCATATAGTGCACCGACCTCATGTCATTCTAGCATCAGTTTCCTAAGGCAGAAAAAGTTTTCTATAAAACATGGGTCTTGCAGTACTGGCAGAGCTGGGGGAAAGTGTTGAACCTACCAATTAAGCCAATAATTCGATTAGATTGCTAAAAGCTGTGCTGGAAAAGCTTCAGGAGAGGCTTATAGGTTTGGGTGTCTGTATTAGGGTTGTCAGTCTCATGGAGCAGTGACTGTGTTGTATGGACACCTGTTTGACTAAAATCTTAAGAATTTGTGTCTGACATTTAGAAAACTTCTTAGTGGTGCACATAAGACAATGATAAACTTGATTAGGTCATTAAGAATAGAGGCAGAAGTGAAGCCAATAAACCGTGGTCCTACAGGTCTGGGTTAGCTAGACAATTGAAGAAAGGTACAGTACATACTGTAATTCTGGGTATTCCAAATAGTTGGTTGAGCTTGGGTTTCTCTTTCTCTCTGATAACCTCAGCATAGTTCTGGCACTAGTACTGACAATTCTAATTCTGTGATGTACTTGGAGAACTAATTTGGTCACAGAACATTTTTGAAGTGAAGGTTCATCACTGGTGACACAATCCCAGGGCACTGTTTCAGTTCTCAGCTGTCCACTTCATGTCAATCCTCTGATCCCAGTTGGCTGCCAGGATCTACGCATTCACCCCTTTCCTAACCTCTTTATCCAATCCAGGGTCTCTCAGCAAGCAACAGGTACAAGGCAAAATACACCCTGGACGGGATGCCAGCCTATCTCAGGGTACATACAAGCCACACACTCTCGCACCAGAGTCAATTTTCCCAGAAGCCAGTTAACCTACCAGTATGTCTCAGGACCATGGGAGGTAACCAGAACAGCTAGAGGAAATCCATGCATAAGAGGAGACCATACAATCTCATGTAGCTAGCAGGAAACTGAACCCAGGGTCACTGTGGTGAGGCAGCAGGGCTAATCACTGAGCCACTGTGCTTCCCCGTTGACAGTATCTTAGTCGACAAATGTCACTATGTCCAAGGATTCAATCTGTCCATTTTCACCAACAAAATGTAATAGACCTGTTTTCACACTGTGCATATCCTTTAATCAAAGGGACAAAGTTAATCTCGATAGTTGCAAGCAGCTGATCAATGAGAGCAGAACTTTACATTGATTACACCCATGAAACAAATATAAATGCAAAAGCCAGTGTTCATAAAAGAGTTTCAAGCTCTTTTATATATAGCTGTTTTACATTTCATTTTAAAGCTTAGAATGTGTGCAATTACTGTTTTGGAATAATCTAAATCTTTTCCAACAGTTTCCACCAGGAAAAACAATTTTTACAAATTTTGCATATTTCTGTTTTATAGTTTACTTTAATTGTCATTACTGACAATTTCAGAATGCAGTTTGTCGCTGAAGAAAAAAAGAATTGTTGGGTAATTGTCACTCCCTCCAAACAATGATGCTTATGTTCTTAAAACATGACCACAAAAAAATACTAGGTTCACAAAATGTCTGATATTACTTATTCCAGTTAGTAATTCAATAAATACAAATCTGCAATGCAAGATTAATAAAGATGTTAGTTTTTAATTAAAAATGCCAAGATTCTGGTACATGATGCATATTGATCCAAGCTAAGGCTGACCGTACAGGAATTGTTGTGCCATGTCATCCCACACAGATCCCACACATTCCCCAAATGTTATGGACCTGAAAGGCAAATTTCATGTTTAATGCTGCCATTGTTGATATTTGTTCTGCAAACCTTGAGGTACTATAATGCCTGCAAATTTACTTGGAGGACTATAGATTAAAAAAAAATAGGTTGTGATTAAAGGTGCATTTTTTACATCAAAGACTAAACAGAATAAATTAAAAATTAAGGTCATTAGTGTTGTAAATTATATAGTAGATTTTATATTTATGTTTAATATCCTAGGGTGTAGGATGTTAAAAGGAATTAAAATGTGGTATTTTGAGAATGTGCTAAACAAGAAGCAAATATGATTTCAGAAAGAATGAATTTAAGTTCATTGTGCTTGTCTTGAATGCCAAAGTAGCATTGTCATTATTCAGTATTCATCTTGGGACTCAATTTCAAACTTATAAGAAGTGTTTTTAAAACAGGCTATAACCCATAAATTCACTATAATTATTTTATAATTTTGAGTGCAATTCCCTGTCTAAACATTTGATTATCTGGAGCAATTTGCACAATGTTTCCAGGCAAAACAAAACCCTATTTTTATAAATGTTGGTCGATCACCTGCAATATTGAGCTGAGTGATGTGCTAAATGAAGTTTGACTGCTGATAGTTCTCCTTATATCATAATCATGCCTGAAGATAACTTATATAGATGAAAGAAGAATGTTTAAGGAATAAATGTGTACAGCAGATTGCATTAAAACAAAACTGCAAGGGATTAAGAAGTGAGTTTAAGAAGCTCATTGAAAATATGGAGCCATATTGATAAATTGATAAACAAAAAGACAAGAACATGAATGACACGAGACAAGGACATTTAGCCTGATGTCAGTATTTCTAAAAAGTTATTTTTTGGGCTGTATAAACCACACTCTTAGTATTTATGACTGTACATGAATTATGGACATCAAGTAACACCATACTAGGAGTTCCTTTCCCTACCCAAGTCCAGAAGAGTTGCATATTTGCTGTGGAGCTGGTTACCACAAATCCCTACCTTGGCTTGTGTACTTTAGGGAGAAGCCACCTGCTTTTACTGAAAAAAATGGACACCTTAATTGTACGTGCCAGCAGCGTTCTGCAATCTGCATGAATTGGCACCTCTTTCAAGCAGTCAAGGACGTCCACATCAATAAACAGCACATTTGAGTATCAAGAGGCCTTAAATTTAAAAGAAAGGATCACTGCACTTTTAAGATAAAATGAAAACCACCTACTTGACCATCAATGCATGATTTGATTTTATACATGATTTTCTTTACATATAGCTTCAGTTTGATGTTCTATACAGCGAGTAAAACAAAATCTACCTCTACTTGACATTTTTGTACATATATATAATACACCCTTCTTAAACCAACCCGGAGGCACTCCCTATGCTAAGTGGTGTTAGTTGACAAGAAGGTTATGTTATGCTCTACCTAGCAGAAGTAACACTTCTTAAAAATGGAGCAAATTCCCCCGAGATTTTCCTTTAGTGTGAACAGCACACACTAGTACCCACCAGCAAAAAGGTGGCCTGTGCAGCCCACTGACTTCGATTTTTCATTTAAAACACTGTCCTTCCAAAACTGCTTTCCCTCATCACCTGTAAATTTATAGGGACACTTGAAGAACACCAGTCAGGTACCAATTGCTTCTTTTAAAAAATTCTACATTCTTTGGTGACCGTCCACTTGTTTTGATTAATTTATTTTTTAGCAAAAAAAATAACCGAAGCAGACCACAAGTTCCAATCCTCTCCCTCACTGTTTCAGTCTGGCCAGCTGTATCCTTGCAAAAGGAGTGATGTGGTTTTGGAAATTGGCGACAGTGATGAGCTGCTTGTCCTTCGAAGAGCTGGGCAGCCTTGAGACCCCCTCAGTAATGCAAATTCCGTCAATGCCCTCAAATCTTCTCGTCGGTCATCTCCAGGAACTGTGCATAGACATCCCTTGAACATTCCCCCTTTTGGTTGAATAGGAACTTGTAGTAGCTGCCGTCTGCGCAGATAGCTGGAAGAGACAGCCAAGCCGGTATTATCAGTTATTTTTCAGTTTGCAATGTTAAGTCAAAAGAGGAAAACCTTCAAAGAAAGTAAACTGTATGCATGAGGGTCAGGTATTTCAATGCTACATGCCACTCTTTTATCAAGAGCATTTTCATCTTTCTTACTTATAATGCACTAAATCTGACATTGCAACTGATTTCCATAAGGGGGCACTGCAGTGTGAGCACAGGCTACCAAAGTAAAACTAATTTGGTCTGGTACAGCAACATTAAAAAAAATAAACATTTAAACAGACATTATAATATTATAAAATATATACATAAAACTAAGAAAAGTTACTTTGAAATATTTTTCTAGCAACACCTGTTCAACCATTCTTCAAATCCAGTACATTAAAAGCTCTTCATAATACTCAGATACATTTTTACTCCATGTGGAAGTTTAAATACATTGAGTACATGAAATGGTATTAGCAAATGTTAAAAAGAACATGTTTCCAATTAATGGAAAGAATAAAAATTACGAACGGCGCCTTCAGTTTGTGTTTGTATGCCTGGTATATCTTTGTTTTATGTATTTGTTTATGAAAGGCACTAAATGTATGCCTCATACTCCTTGTTTCGAAATTATAAGAATTTTCTTATTTTATTGAGTTTCATATAGGACATTTTCATACTTTGTGTATTGAATTTTTCAGGAACATACAGGTTGGCCACCCAGCCTGCCTGGTTTCTAGTAGCAGGCTAGGTGATCTGAGGATTTCATCCAGACATTTCTTGAAATGCACATGTTCCTGTTTGCATTATCTAAATACAGGAACAATGAGAAAAAAAAACTAGTTTCAGTTTCATTGTCTGGAGCAATTTAACCAGTAATTAGAGAAGGGAGTTTAAGAATAATCATAAAAGCTGCCTCCATTCCAACAGGGTTACTTGACATGAGTACTTCCGAACATGGGCAGAACAAACTCATTGGCTAAAGGAGGACTTTGGCTCCCAGCCTGAAACTACAACCATCCCCAACAAATAACCCACACATGTATGCTTTTCAGTAAAAACTTGCAATGTGTATTGAGAAACGCAGCCAAGACACTGGAAAGAACTACAGATAATTTCTCCCATTGAGCAAAAACAGCAGTTTTATACTGGCTCCAGTCCAAAAAATTTTTTTGCTTAGTTGAACTTCTACTTGGAGTACATGTATAATGTATGAAACGCAGCACATTAACCTTAAAACTATGCTTTGGATTGCTGCCATGCTGGAATATCTATTTTCAGCCAAGCTTGAACTTCTTGGCAGAAGAAAGTAGCCGTTTGGCCAAAATGTCCCGGTACATGTTGCAGTTTGTGGTCATGTGTAGGTATGTTGGCCGAGGTCACAACAGAAATGTGCTCAAAGGGGACTTGAATCTATCCCGTTAACAAGTCCATTACCTCTAAACACTACTGCATGTTGCCCCCGTATATGAATTCTGGGCTTCTATATGTGAATTCTGGGCTGCCACAGCCCTTGTCTGAAGAAGCTAAAGGATAATGGGTATATATACAGTATATGCATTATATACATATTACATATGTATTGTATATGTGATGTGAGAAAGAAAATAAGAGTAAGATATTATACCTATTACTGCATTTGGCTCAGTTCCAAAGGCACAAACACAGGGGGAACCAGAAGGAACCTGAAACTTGGAGAAGCTCCACTTGGAACTGAAGTATTTGGGAAGGAAGCTCGCAGACGCCAAACTGCAAAAGAAAATGAAAATGATATTTGTATTCAAATAAACCAACAAATCTATTATGAAAAAAGGTTTTCACAAAAAAATGTCAAAGCCTATAGCTCATAGGGTGAGATATGGAACATTTATACAACAGTACAGTAGAAAAAGTTAAAGAGTGGACTGTGCCAAACCAGTTTGTTTCCAAAAAATTAAACTGATGCATAATTGTTTTACTTCAATATTTCATTGGGCACATGGCATAATGTTATTTACATGTATGAAGGTTTTAAGGTTTTCCATACCTGGACTGCTTGTTTCTTTTTGGATCCTCAGCAGCAAATATATGTACTGTACCATGGTCACTCGACACACAGATTAGAGACGCATCCTGGTTGAAATTAATGCTGGACACACAAACATTAAGGACAGGATTTAAAGTTCATAAACAGTCATGCAGTAATTCCAAAGAGCTGAAAACTACAATTCACTTACATACTCAAGACAGGATCGTGTCATGATATTTGAACAAGATGCTACAGTACATATATACATGTGAAGATATCTACATACACATATACAGTAGATTTAAACATCTATGCCTGTCAAGGTAATTTAAAATAAAATGTTACATCTCCCTGTATAAAAATATTCATAGATATAGTAAAATGTGTACTGAGAAATTAGATTGCAACAAAAGGTATGATTATACCCATGTGAATATACATGATGTATTATTTAGATTGGTGTGACTCTTATTCATCAATCAATTAGTATATAACTACTGCTTTCTCTTTCATTTAACTGCATCTTTGTGAATAGCAACACCTTACCAGTAAATGTTTGCTGCTTGTGAACCCCTTCTTAGTTCCTGGATTAAATGGCCACCGGAAGTATCAAATATCCTAATAAGAGTCCCCTACGACAGAAACATAGTCTTAGTATATGTTGTAATGTTCCCAGGAACATTTCTGTTTTTAAAAAAATAATTTTCTTCAAACTGAGAATCTGACAGGTTCCTCTAAAACCTGTATTTTCTTCATCAACACTAACTTCAGAAGGGGGAAATATTTTACTATAAAAGCTCATCCACAGTTATATACACTTTTTATTCTAAATGAGTGAATAAAACTAGTAATAAAATATTAAACTAAGCAGTCCTGAAAATAGACACACTAAGCATGAGTTGATTTATCTATGATCCAGAATATTTGAGTCTGGGTCATGTCATCAGTCAGTGAAATTCTCCAAGCAGCATTTTAGGACTGGAAGGATGGGGATTACCTAGGATCTCCCAGCAAAACAACTGCCTCCTGGGTGGGTATATAGTATAAACATGGTAACTGAAAAAAGGCTGAAAGATGACCGTTTAGCATACTTTTTCTGAAGCTGTGGCTATCCGCGTTCCCTGCAAATTGAGTGCTATGCAGCTCAGGGCTCCTTCATGAGCTGGGATGTCTACTGGAGGCTTCTCTGTATTGGCTAGGTCCACTATCTGCACATGGCCTGTATGAGTGCCAGGGAAGGCCAGCAGGGAGTTGTTGCTGTTTGGACACAATACACAAAGACCTGCAGAGAGACAGAAGTGATCAATCAATATCTCAAAATCTCAAGAACTGAAATCACAGAATTGGAAAACCTCATACGAAAGACAGCTTTGATCTGTAAGGCCTTTTGTACTAAACTGCACACAACTGTAATTCAACAGAAAACAAGCACTTTCATTAAAGCAAAAAAGATGAAGACCTTTCAGCTTTCTCCCCTTATTTGAGCATTCTACACTAGAATAAGTTCCCTTTTGGTTACAGAAGTAGTAAAAGAATAAATGTTATAGTTTAATGGGGATAAGCCTTTAGACTCTATTAAGAAGCTGGTAATCTTCAGTACACATTCCTGGTGCACATCCTCACAACAGACAGTTTGTGTACCACATATCTTCCTAGAAACAAACACACTGAAACACACAAATCAGAGCCTTTGACCTGGAGGAGTTCAGTAGTTTGAGCTTTTACAGAATTTGGATGAACTATAGACTTTGTAAGGTTAGCCACATTATTCCAAGCAGTGACATGGGCTGAGCTGCCAACCCACAGTTTGTGAACTTTTTGACATAAACTATTTTTGAATCTTCTATTCAAGTAAGGGGAAAGTACATAACAGGAAACTGTCACATCTTATTTTGAATGGGTTTTTTTTTTTAAATCTGAAACAAATATACCGTGTTGTACATCATGAGTCAGTATTATTACTATTTTACTACTGTTTACTATTTTAAAACAATTTGCTTAATTGAATAATACTTAATATAAGAATGCTTATAAATATGTGATCTATACATAAATGTTGCTATTGTTCTACCTACTATAATTTCTACAATGTCATTTACAATTTCCTTTTGGTCTTATTTTAAAAAAAATATGAATACTAGAGGGTACAGAGGGAATATCTGCAAAGGCAAAAAGTACAGACCAACCTTTAGGGTTGTAGCAGGTCTCAAAGACATGCAGCTGGTGAGGGTTGTGGGTAAAGGTGAATACTTTTATCATGGAGTCAAGAACCACCACAATCCTGGAACAAGAACATTTAACAGCGTTTAGTATTTGTAGTTTATTTCCTACCATGTACAAGGACACACACCTCCAAACTTTTAAAACAATCAAACGTTCACCAGCTCATTAGTGTCAGTGCTGGACTCTTATCTTAGCACTTGAAAATATATGCTTACTTAGATCTGTTAATACAGATATTAACCAGAAGACCTGTTTAATGAGCAATTCCCATTTCAGTCTTTTAGTTTATCATAACCCTGATTAACCCTCCTCAGTGAAGAGTTTCAGGTAGCTACACATCCACTGAGACTGCTTTGTCCTCTCATAATAAACTAGAATTAACATCCATAACAAAATGTGGCCATATGAAATTAACACTTCTTTTAGCATCCATAAAATGGATAACAACTGACAAATATACTTCAACCTTTCATCTTATTTTGGGAATAATTCTTCTGCTTCAATCCTGAAATGCAGTTAAAATGATCTAAAACAATCAAAGACATTTCACTGCCATTTTCTACTGCACATGGTAGACATTTGGTTATTTCTGATTTACATTTGGTATCGCCCCATTAAATTGTATTTAACATAGGAGCTTTGAGATTTAACCAGTATACTTGCTGTGTGCTGAATATGCTTATTGCCATATCAGAAAACTGTGCCTTTGTTCAATAAAACATGTTTTTTTTTATTAATCTGAGTTGTAAGAATTGAACAGCTTTTCAGAAACTTTATGGGAGGTCTCAACACTTTGACTGTTGTGACGTCTTTGCAGCACACTTGTGTGAGTCTTTTGTATCTATCTTTGTGGCTTTCAAACTGCTCATCAGATCCAATATTGCCTGGAACAATCCCTTGTGATGAAATAAAGAAGACTTGAGATTCTAAACCTGGCATACCTTTCAGTAATTATGGAAGCTCTTTTAATATCACAATATCTTGTCAAATATTAATTTATTTTTCTACAAAACCTGGGTAAAAAACAATCAATGTCTGTGTTTCGGATATTACTTGCCAAAAATGTTAAATTATGTTACTCACAAGGGCTATTCTGAAGGTACTGCAAGTCAGATGAACTGAATTTGGCAACATGCTTCTAAAGAATGTCAGTGTATGTTTTAATCATGATGAATCTCTGCCATTCACAAGTCATACTTTATTTCACCATTAACTGCAGATACACTGTTATGTTTTGATGAGTGTGTGGACTTTCTCTTTATTAAAATCATAAATTCTGAGGAAATATTCTTTTTTTTAACATCTAGTAAGTACTGCTCTCTCATTTATTACTTTTAAGAAATACAAAACAGTTTATGGTTAATGAGCAGAGACAATGCCTTTGTCAAGCCATCTTTTATATTATCAGCTTGACACATTCCAAATTTTCTTTACCTCTGTGTCCTTTTCCAGACAACTCCTGTTATTTCTGTGTGTGAGAGTTATTGTAATATTAATTATCAGTTTGTTAATTTTCAAGTGTGATCCAAAGAAGAACTGCAAGTTGTACAATGTGCGTTCTACCAATCCATGTAGAAACAATATGCCATATGACTGCAGTTCTTACTCGGAAAATCAGGGTCAGTAATGATTATGAGTATTCTATAACCATTTATTCTTTTTTCAACAATACGATCCACACACAAATATTTTATCATCAAACCTGATTCTAAGTGACAGTTCCCCATGTTAGACATAGTGTGTTGCTTTGTTTAGGAAGCTCAAAGTTGGTGACAATGCTAAAAAATGCTTATATTCTACTGATCACTGTATTTTACAGTCTTTAATACATATACACTGTCAATCTAGACCCGTCTACTGTAACAGACAGCCAATACACAGATCCCAGCAGAGTTTAACTACCCACTACCTAGCTTTTACAGGCAAGACAAAAATAATAAAACTGTTAACAGAAATCTAACTCGATCTCATACTGTAGAATTCAGTTACATGAAATTCTTCCATTGAAGATTTTGCTAGTACCTGTGAAGTTTATACAGATATTTATTTATCCCTCATTCTGCTGCATGAAGTAAATGATTTATTTATAAATTAAATTAGGAATCTAGACTGGAATTGCAAACTACTATTAATACTTATTTCCAGGCCTTCTTACTTTGGTGTCTCCAAGCATTCCTTTGTTATAAATAAGACAGCCAAGAGTTAATTATTCCAGCATGTTAGATGCTGAAAGTAAAATTATCTGCCACGTAATTTATTATTGTATTCATATATTAAATCTATTAAATGTAAATCCCATTTGAGTTTTCAGACAGTTCAGCATTCAAAAAAGGAAAGGCTGTACAATTCCTTATTATTAACTTTAATCTACATTCTTTATCAAATAAACAACAACAATATTATGAATAAAAAAGTGTAATTACCGATCACGTCTAAGTTTCACAGCTTTCACTTCTGTGGAAAACTCTATTTCTATAACCGTCTTCTTCTTCAAATCGTCCCATATCATCACTGAGAAGAAGAAATAGGTCAGTTTAGGCCTAAATAACTGTCTTGCTGTTTAGTATTTAAATGCTCCAGAATAAACCAGAATAAGCCACGCACTCTGGTTTCTCTTCATCTCATACAAATCTTTCGCCTTTTACTAAAGATTTCCGTGGAGAGGAGCATGAATGAGTTCCATGCAATTTTTGTGCTTCCCTGCCTTCGGGTGATTTCTGCAATTTCCCTCACGGGATCAATAAAGTATCTATCTATCTAAACAAAATGATCAATAACGTGACATAGCAAAACAGCAAACAAGCTATTATTCAAAGCAAGAAGTATTTTCATAATTTGTCCAATACTAAAATTCTTAAAACTCTACAGATATATTTCTAGAATAAAAAAAACAAAGTTACAAACTCAACTGCAGTTTCACTGAAAAATGCTAAATTGTATAATAAACATAGGACATTTGGCCTTTTTTCTGAATAATTTCACTCCTCTAACAAAGCTTTAATATAGCTAAACTTAATCTGCTTTACATAAGAACATCAAAACACTTTCCTAATGAAAATAAATCCACAAAATGTTTCACAATAAAATTCCAACACACTCCATAAAGAAGCTGAATGAGACAATCTAAAAGCTCTTGTTCTGGCTGTAAATATACCTTTATTAGGGGGATACTTTGGCTTCTTCCCTCCTCCAACTAGTGCTAAGTAGTTACATCGGAACAGCATCTCAACATGGCCTACACCACCTTCCAGAAACTCTGCAATGAAACAAAAAGAAAGCTTGGACTCAACAGAAGCAAAACTGACACAGGCACAGCATTATGACTATCAGCTGTTATCACTGTGCAGAAGTGGTGACACAACAGCCCCCGTCACAGCTGAACAGCCTACCATGCTTTATTTGAAATAAGTTATTGCAGACAAATCTGACAATTAACTTCACTACTTGGAAACATGAACTGGTAAAGAAGTCTAGAGCTGTTAATTAAAATATGCTGTTTTGCACCAGTCTATGTGGTCTGTGTGTTACACAACTTCTCAGGACAGGGCTAGAACTGAACATTTAAAACAGATGTATCAGCACCTTTGTAAACAATACCCAAGAATATTGTGCCTCCTGTGTATTAATCATTTGAATTCATTTAAAAAATGTAAAAGGGTGTTAAAATCTTTAAATTAGTATAAAAAATGCCTAAAATCCACAAAAAGATGTTACTGCTTTCCAGCATAGCACGTGATTTAGGGCACGTTACAACTCTAATCCAAGACACTTACAACCACTATAAGCAGAGTTTCAAAATCTGTTATCTAACTACTTCAATGACAAATTAAAAAAACCTTTTAAATGTATCTGAGAATCTTTATGAAAGTCTATACCAACACAAGTATATTGTCCTAAGAAAGGTTTCTGTGCTCGCTCTTGACTGAACACCTTGTCACAGCACTGTAAACAAAATCCCTGTGTAAGCAAAGACAGTTAAAATCAGGTGACGGTCACATCTGCAAATCTCTGTCTCTTTTCCACTGGAAATGATTAACTATGTGTTACTTGTCTAGTTTTCCATTGAGACCAGATCACATAAACATAAGGAGAGGAAGTATCTTGAGTCTTATTTGTCAGGAAGAATGTCATGCTTAGTTTTAAAAAAAGTGTTTTTACTAAGGGGACAAATGTTTTTCAAAACTGCAATTGGTACTATTTTTAGAATACTGTCATCATTGTTGTATATTTTCTGACATGAGAACTATAAAAAAAACATTAAAATTCAGCTGGCTAATTTCCAGTAATGTGTACTTCCAATACAGACTGTAAAAGTAAAACAAAATTCCACAAGTGTCTAGGGGTACAGGGGTGTAACATTTAGGAGAATTCACTGGAACGTAACAGTAGATCTCAAAGTAGGTAGTTCTGTTAAGATAACTTAAAAATAAAAACGTAAAACCAAAAAAGTAAAAACTATGGACATGCCTAGTGCGAAAAATACAAATACTTCTGTGGTCACTTCAGAGCACTATGTAAAAGCATCCCTTGTATTGTCTATGTTATAAGATGCATACTAAAACTAACATTGTTCCTGAATATAGGAGCACAGATTTCAGAAACGACCAGCTACCTGTCTAGACAGTGCCTTATAACCACATTTCTTTAACCGACAGAGACAAATCGATTGTGTATTGCATTTGTAAAGCAACAGATGAAGTATGCCTAAGAATGTGACTGGTATGCAATCAAACTATGTTTGACCTAGAGCTAAAATGTGCACTCTAAACAGCATATACTTACAGAAGGAGCCCTACCTTGCTTTTCCTTCTCTTTAAGTGGGTCTGTGTTGTAAACTCTGAATCCATTTTCCATTCCACACGCAAAGCACCCTGTGAAAAATGCAAAAGAGGAGCTGGTTGGACATTGCCAACTTCACCAAACTTCATTCAGAAACAGCCTAGGCCAACATCAAAAGGGCAATTTGCAGCAGTTTCCTACAGAAATGCAGTTAAGGTTTTTTCATGGTTGCAGTTCCAGGGGAAATCTCACGAAGGTTAAGATTTAAACATTCCTGAAGAAATTATACCAAATTTATAACAAATCAAAAGAAATGAAAGTATAGCAAACTTCATATCGAAAACATAAAAAGTATGAAATAACACTGTTGCAAGTACTTCAACCTTGAGTACTTCTGCACCTCTGAAAAGAGCCAATGAAAAAGTTTCTTTTTAAGCCACATGTCCAAGTGCATTACTAAATTACATTCCATTTTTTCGATGCTTATAGCAGAGAAACTAGTACATAGTTTAGTTTTGTTTTGTTTAGACATGACTGTTACAGTGTCTTACTTTCAGGTTCTGACTAGAACTTGTTCAGGCAAACATAGCCCATGTCTTAAATTTACAACAATGACCTATTGAATTCTAGATGTAGTACAGATATTGCTCTTGACTTTTAAGGGCAATAATCTTTCCCCTTACATATCTCAAGATAAATTACATGTCTTGTCAGTAAGAACATAAACCATGTGTTCAGGCTTCCTTCTAAAATAAAGTATGCAGGCACCATTCATTAAGTTATTTGCCTTAGGGGAATGTAGGTAAGGCTGTCATATTACGAATTGCTTGTTCTCCTGAAGCTAAAATGACACACTTCAAACAATAGCAGGACTTCAGTACAGTTACAGAAACCCATTTGCTCTTTTTATAGCACAGAAAGCTGACAGACATTCTGTATGTGTCTGTATCTGCCCGCATCTAGAAAGGAGATTTTGGTGCATTCATTAAATGTCCTTGAACAATAATCACACAACCATAGGAGGCACAATTTATTAAGTGCCAAGTGCATAAAGGTATTACTAGGTCTCAGCTCATACTTGGATTTTCAATACAAGTGGCCTACAACTGGCTGTGCACCCCAGTATAGGAAGGGATCGGCCAGGGCTATTTTGGTTTTACTGTAAAAAGATGAGAACTCATTCAAAGCTCTTTTTATGTTACATTGTTTTCTAAACTGCACTGAGGTAAAAAAAAAAAACAGTTTAAAAGTTAAACTGACATTTCCGCAGACCTCATGTGAACCCTCCCAAAAGTGGCAGAAACAGTGGAAAAGTCAATTTCAAAGCTAAAGAAAAACATAGCTGACTGAAGAGCCTGAACACAGGAAGTTAAGTTACAGATGGATGGAGGGAGGGGGGCTTACAAAATGAAATGGTGCAAACAGGATTTCAGCTGACCAGACACCGAAAGCATCAAAGTACAATCTGTTCATCCAAAATGAATTGGACAGCCCTGCTGAACAAGCTGGGTCTATTGAATAAGAAGCAATGTCCCCAAGTTATTAAACCGTTGCTGCTACAAATGACATCTGTTAAAAAGATCAAAACGGAAACATGAGTTTTCTTTGCATTCTCTACTTTTTCTGTCACCTTTCAGACCATACCATCAGCGGCAGCTATTTTTGAGTTTTAAAATAAATCAAACTTTCTGGAGTTCTTTATTTTTCCAAACTGCCCCAAATGCTATTGACTGAAAGATATCATATCCAAAGACCAGGGCTCCAATCACAAGTATATGTATACCATATTTACACAGTACTCAGAGGATTATAATTCCAATTATATTTGAATTATATTCAACAAGATGTGTTTAGGACCAAACTGGGTGTTAAAATGAATATAGGAAAATTAGAGGGTTACTCCATAAATCAATTACTTTGTAGGCTGACTGAAACAAATTTCATCCAAATATCCATCCATAGTAAAAATGCCATTTATTCCTGATGTGTCTGTTGCGGCAAACCAGAACCAGTCCCAGAAGTATTGGGATGAAACTAATTCTAAAGAGAAAAATCTGTTTAATGTCTGCTATCTGTAGTAAGAGATGTGAATGCAAGGCACAAACAAAAAAGTAAAATACGTGGACAAGAAGAACTAGATCTCTTCATTACAAGCAGAAAATACTCATGTTTCTAACATTTCAACCAAATCTTTTAAAAAATAATGAAATTAAAACACTGCGAGAAGGTCTGCTAAGAACAGCTCAGCTAAAAATAGCTGAAAATAGCTGTTCATGAAAGATGGGTGGACAATAAGATTCAGGCTATTCCACTAAAGATCAACTTCAAGTGAGCTCAGTTTTAAATTTTCAATTATTATATGATTATTGTCCACATCCATTACTACAATCTGATACCTGTTCCAAAGTAGGTATTATAATTGCAGATGCAAATGTCCAAGGAATTAGCGGAAAAGTTATAGTGGAAAAATACAAATAAAAAAGCAGTATCGTTTTCTTAGAGTTCCTTTTTCACTATTGAAGACAATTTTGCAATATAATTCCTCCTTGCTTTGTAACAGGAAGCTTCTGCTTCCAATATAAAATCTCATGCGCAGGAGGAAGTGTGCTGACAGTATGGTGTAGTGCAGGCTGCAGCACAGTACTAAGCCAGCACAAATTCCTGGCGCTCAGACCCAGAACAGGCAGTGACTCATTCCGACAACTACAACTAGTCAGTTTTAAAGACTTAATCAATCAGTTTTAGAAACTGGAAACAGTAGATTTGAGTCTAGTAGACTGAAGATGTTTACCTTATTCAAAAAATATTTTAAAGGGGAAATGCAGTCCCAAATTTTCAAACAAGTTATTAAATCTCAGCGACAAAATAAATCGTCTGGTATCAAAATTTTACAAATTCCAAATTAAGCACAAAATTATGAACTTTGTGAACATTGTATAGCTGCCATGCTGTCGAAAACTGCTGGTCTCGCAATGGGCAAGAGCAAAAGTGTGCAAGAACTCACTTAAACTCTCCCTTCCTGATTACTAGTCACTGTAATGGCTAATGTAATGCAATGTACAAGCGAATACGTACACGTTGTGGTGCAGACGTTTCACCGCAGAAATGTTCCAACGTAATCTGCATGCAAAGTAAGTAATTGTCAGAAAAAACGTCTTGAAGTCAAGAACAATATTTCTATTGGAGTAAAAGAGATGTATTCGCACGCCTGCTTGAATACAATGTAATAGGGCCACAACACGTAACTGGAAGTTCTGTTGCCTCATTCTGAATCACAGACAATGACCGCAATAT